GGGGGCAAACAGACTGATGGGACCAAATTCTGGTCAGTCTTACACCACTGCAACTATACGGGCTTCATTGGGATTGCACAGGTGTAACTTGAGACAGAATTCTGAAGTAACCAGAGGACTTCACCTGAACACTGTGTTGTGCCTTTTCGGGAGATAGCGGGGGTGGAATGCAGATCCAGAGAAGGGGGGTGAATCCATAGGCAGCTTATGCAGTGGGTCCTTTGGACTGGGTTGTGTCAGGAGTGCTTTGGTGATGGAAGTGTTGGGTTGTGCTCCCTTCAGCCATCTCCATTCTCACATACTTTCTCCATCCTTGCAGGAGAAAGGGGGTGTTTGGTCCTCCTCTTGGCAAGTACTTCATATTTTTCATTGATGACCTAAATATGCCGGCACTGGAAACCTATGGTGCTCAGCCACCCATTGAGCTGCTTCGGCAGTGGATGGACCACCAGGGCTGGTACGACAGGAAACAGATTGGTATGATCCAGGTTCTTTGCCTAACACTGTTTATATTCTCTAGGGTTGGCATGCTGACTAATTAGGCTAATGCGGAGGTAACCAGCCTCCAGTGTATATACATAGCGAGTGAGACATAGGATTCATAGAAAACATTTCTGGTTTAGGCTTGGCATGCAGCTACACCATTACTCTCCTCTGGATTATTTCCCAGGTATCTTTAAGAATCTGGTGGATATTAACTTCGTCTGTGCCATGGGCCCCCCAGGCGGAGGAAGGAATGCCATCACGGCACGCCTCACCCGTCATTTCAACTATCTTTCCTTTACGGAGATGGAGGACAGCAGCAAGAAGAAAATCTTTTCCACCATTCTTGGCAGCTGGATGGGTAAGTTCTGAGAACACAAGGCTTTTCCTCTTCACTTCGCAAGTCTCTGCCCATCTACATCCCCCCTTGGTTAAGAATTAAGCTAATGAGGGGATTAAGAAATGCTGGAATCTGGAATGGAAAGTGTTTCTGAGAAACTATCATTTGACTCTGAGCAGCGGGGTAAATTGGCACATTTTCATCATGTTCAGTGGAGATGTGCCAATTTACCACCATAGAGAATCTGGCTCTGAAAAGTGTACATAAAATCTGACATAGCCTAGTCCTCTTAAAAGGGATTTTCTGTGTGTTGGACAAAGTGCTGTGGATATTATCTATCTTTCCCAATAGAAAACAATCTTTGTTTTTCTTCCTTGATTTTCTAGCTGGACTCCTTGGAGAAAGAAGTTTCAGAGATCCAGTCCGTAAGTAAAAGTGGCTGAACACAAACCATACATTGTGAACAGGACAGGGCTCACGGAGTGCTGAGAAGGATTCTAAAACTATGAGTTACCCGTATCCTTCAGTAGACTCGGACATTTGCCCAGATGACTGGGCAAGATGTGTTGCATGATCTCTGCAGTTGGCTTCAGACTTTGTAGAAGAAGCAGGGGTTTCTTTTATTCTCCCACAGCTGTAGCCTGTGAACAGCTGAGCAGTGAGTACTGGAGTCTGCAAAGGTGCTGTAGCCACCCAGGGAAAAGATTTTCAGAATAGAACAAGTCACTTAGAATTGATTTCATTTTGTGTCATAGTCTCATCATCATTTGTCCGTTTCTAGTTTCCTTTTATTCCCATCCATGGGCCTGAGCTGGGTGGTGGGGACCAAGGTGTGAATTTGAGGTCACATCCACAGAGCTGAGCATCTGAGTGTAAACACTGGAAAGGAATATGAACATCAAGCTGTAACCAAGGGCCAGAGCAGAGATTTCTGGGCACCCATGCAGGGATTCTAAGCAACGACAGGAGATGTTGGCTCCTAGGTATGAACTTGGGGCCATAGCAAGGTCTGTGGGTGTGAGTCAAAGGTACAAGTAGTGAATTTGGCCATGTTTGGTGGGATCTTAGTCAGCATCGTAAAAAGTGGGCATGATTATAGGGTGTGACAGGGCTGTTACAAAGGTATTTTTTAATAAGAAACTGGATTAGGATAAAAAATGTTTTGGTAACTGGCATGCTTTTAATCCTGCCATTCACCACCCTCAAGGGAGATCTTTCCTTGAGGACCCCACGTTAATTGAGTTTGATGTATGACAAATGTATCCCAGAAACCCAAGATGGCATAGTGCTCATTAGGCACCCCCCTATTCCCTTATTAGTGACATCCCCCATTACTTTCTACTCTCTTTTCTTTAATCTTCCCCCACACATAAGATAATTTTTTGTACATGTTCAGTCTCTACAGATGCTTCTGAGTGTGACCTTTGTACTGCAGCTGCTGCTTAGTAGGTCAGGGTTGCCTCCTTGGTAGGACAGGATTGATACTTTGCTACTGAGCTCACGTGTGTGGACTAGTTGGACAAAGTCTGGCTATGACTGGTGAAGAGTCTCCCCTTGAGTATTGGTCAACAATGAGCCCGTTGGCTGCAGATTCAACAAGTATGGCAAGCTGAGGAGATGGCAAGGTCCACAATGAGTGTTACTGAACAATAGCAATGGTGGCATCAGTGTCAGTCTGCCTGCCTATTGTGCTTGAATTCTGTCAGTCCTTCACACCCCTAAAATGCCGCTGCCTTCTGTTCCTGCAGCTGGAGCCCCTGGAGTCGAACACTTGAATGAGCCCCTTGTCGATGCCACCATTCGTGTGTATTCAACCATCACGTCCCAACTGTTGCCTACTCCAGCAAAGTCACACTATACCTTTAATCTGAGGGACCTCTCCAAAGTTTTCCAGGGGATGCTCATGGCTGAAGCCTGCAAAATGGAGGTGAGTCCTCCCACCATTTTATCTCACATGATTCTGTACTGCCTGGGGAATTCCAGATCTCACTGTACGCAGGTCAAGGTTCAAAATGGACATAGAAAAGGCAAGAAGCTGCCTGAGGCCTTGCATTATTAGTAGGGACTTGTTGCACTTCCCAGGTTATTCAGACTTGTGCATTTTGACACTACTCAAGTGTAATAAATGCACAGAAATACCCTATTTGTAGTGTCTTTTTGCACAATTATAAATATGAAATCACGTGTAAACTGGAATGGATGCTGCTGGAGGAGTTCCAACACCCAGGATGCTGTCTTGGGTCAGTTTCCCTTGGGGAAAAGACAGTTTACCTAGGGATATTGTGGGTTCTCCACCACTTGAAGTCTTTAAATCAAGAGTGGATGTCCTTCTAAACAATATGCTGACTTAGTACAGGAATTGCTGGCGGAAGTTCTTTGGCCTGTATTCTGCAAGGCAGGTTAGATTATCATAATGGGTCTTTCCGGTCTTAATCTCGGACCTTTGAAAATAGTAATAAAGGAAGAATTAAAATCTAATAAGAGATGACGGATTGAACTCTAACAATGTGGATTTTAAAGTTACCCCAGCCTGGGGAAGAATAGCACAGATATTTATTGCAGTGTTAATTAACTCCTCTGTAGAGCACATGCTTTAGCATGGAATGCTGCTAAGAAAGGGGTTTAGCGGTGTCCTTCCAAATTCTTCTTTTTCTAACTGAGAGTTAGAAATGACCACATGTTCTGGAGGTAACCTAGCAATCCTGCAGGAGGGACTCGTAGCCTAATGGACATATCTCACTGGGATTCTCTGCCAGGACAAACTGCACCTGCTCAGGCTCTGGTATCATGAGAGTTGCCGTGTGTTCCGCGACCGCCTGGTTAATGATGAGGACCGCAACTGGTTTGATGATCTGATGAAGAGCATGATGGCAGAGTGGGACACCACCTTTGAGGAGGTTATCCCCTACCAGCCAGTTCTCTTTGGGGATTTCATGATGCCTGGTGCTGATGTCAAAATATATGAACTAATTGATGACCAGGAAAAGGTAGAATGCTTTTGATTCCTCCCCATTTTTATTACTTTCTTTTCCTTGTATTCACTCCTATTGAACACTAAGAAAGCATAGCTGATACAAGCTATGGGTTTTCTCTAGCTGAGTGTTTAGAATGTGTCACCTACCCAGAGTTAACATTGCCGGGCTATGTTGAGGTGGTTAGGATATGATCCCATACCCAGTGCCAACCATGTAATGCTCTACAGAGTCAGGCGAGGCTCTAAATGAATGATGGACACAATATGAGGACCTGAATGAAATTGAACTAGGAAGTGATGTCTTTCCGAATTCCCCTACATCTTCTGGTGTTTGGGCAGGTAATAATGATCCTGCAAAGAGCAATAGGCCACCTTCTGTGCCAACCCTCCTAACCTGAGTGCAACACTCAGAACTGGAGGATGGAATTGACTAGGAGGAATCCCAGCCTTATGTTCAATAGGATAATGCTAGCCAGTAAGATCTTTACAATTGACCTTTACAAGTAATTATCATTACTGCAGGATTCCCTGTTGGGGGAGAGTAGTACTACTGTGGTAATGTTAATAAGCAAAAGGTAAAATTATAAAGATTTTAATGATGAGCAATGTAGTTTGCACTCGCTACCGGAAACAAATAATAATATCATCACCTCTCATCTCATGATTGCTAAATGAAATACATTCATTAATTAATTCAGCCTCACAACATCCTCTCTGGTAGGTAAATGTACCCATGCCCATTTTATAGATGGACAAAATACACAGTGAGGCCCAGATCCACAAAAGTATTTAGACTTCTAATTTCCATTGATTTCAATCCGGGCCCAAGAGATTAAGTTACTTGCCCAAGTTCCCACTGTGAATCCATGGCAGAACTGAGAGTAGAACCCATAAAATATTAACCCCTGGTCCATTGCATTAACCTCTGGGCAACACTGTTGAAGAAGACCCTGATGGAATTGGCACAAGATACTGTTTAAATAATCATGTGGGTGAGATGTTTTGGCTAGGGAGGTTAAACTCAATGTAGTATTTCCTCGTTTCTGAAGGGGTGGATTCAGGTGAGTCTTTGTCTGGTTTATTTCTCTTTTTCAGCAGCTACTCTTTCCATCTTGAGTCCAGAAAATGAGACCCACGTGGCCCCTAATAGACCACTTCATGGCCTAGTTGGTGGCCCCTTCTTGAAGTGAGCACCACTTCAGGTGTACGTTATTTCCACCTACGTGTGGTTCTCAAGGATCATTTCTGCCATGAGGGGCTGGTCTTTCCCTTGGATTGCCTCTGGGAAGCTGCTGCGCTTGCCATGTTGTTGTTCTTACCTGTCTCTATTTGCCTGCAGCTTATGCGTGTGATTGAGGAGTACATGGAGGAGTACAATCAGATCAACACCACCAAGATGAAGCTGGTGCTCTTTATGGATGCTATGCAGCACATCTGCCGGATCAGCCGGATCCTGCGCCAGGCACTGGGGAATGCTCTCCTCCTGGGCGTTGGAGGAAGCGGAAGGGAGTCTCTCACCAGGCTGGCATCTCACATGTAAGAAAAAAGACTTCTGTACAGCTAGCACCGAGCAGCTGTGCCAGGGCTGCCTTTCTATGAATCTCAGAGTCTGTTAATTAATACCATAGCCGCTATGGTAGTGCTAGCTCTCAACACCTCCCATTCTGTCCCATGAGAAAAACACCAAAGACCAATCCAGCCCAGCCCAGCCTAGTGGTGTGCTCTACACAACAGTATGAAACACACAGGTTCAATTCCTGGTCTCTCTCCCATGCCAGCAGGAGCTCTGGACAGCAGGAAGGCAATGGCATGAGTTACAAAATAGTATAGTACAAAATAGTAACCCCTTAGTAAGGCGTGGTATTGGCAGGCTGTGAAAACAATACCAAGCCGTCCTTCAGAGCCAGGGGCTGGGAGGTATGGATCTTGAGAGCAGAGAGGTGTAAACTTGGGGAGAAAGGGTCCTGGGGACTGATGAATATAGATAACAGCTCAACAAAAATACACATGTTGGTGTTTCTAAGGCAGGGGTGGGCAAACTACGGCCCAGGGGCCACATCCAGCCCTCTAGACGTTTTAATCCAGCCCTCAAGCTCCTGCTGGGGGGTGGGGTCAGGGGCTTGCCCCACTCCGTGTGGCTCCCAGAAGCAGCAGCATGTCCCCCCTCCAGCTCCTACGCATAGGGGCAGCCAGGGGGCTCCGCACGCTGCCCCCGCCCTAATCGCTGCCCCTGCAGCTCCCGTTGGCCGGGAACCGCAGCCAATGGGAATTGCAGGGGTGGGGCCTTCAGACGGGGCCACACCTCCATATAGAAGCCAGAGGAGGGACATGCCGCTGCTTCTGGGAGCTGCTTGAGGTAAGTGTCCCCCAGAGCCTGCACCCCTGACCCCCTCCCATGCTCCAACCCCCTGTCCAAGCCCTGATCCCCCTCCCGCCCTCCAAACCCCTCAGTCCCAGCCCAGAGCACCCTCCTGCACCCCCAATCCCTCATGCCCAGCCTCACCCCAGAACCTGCACCCCCAGCCGGAGCCCTCACTCCCCCTGCACCCCAACCCCCAATTTTGTGAGCATTCATGGCCTGCCATAAAATTTCCATACCCAGATGTGGCCTTCAGAGCAAAAAGTTTGCCCACCTCTGTTCTAAGGGGAATGGACTAATCCTCTTGCAGGGTAAATGCAGATTTTATTCCAAACCTCCCTTTCATTTATCTCTGATTGCACTACAGTACCACGCTCCTACCGTAGTGAAATGTGCATAAGGATAGCAACATGCTCATCATTAGGAGGTATAAGAAAACACATGCAATATGTTCCATTTGACATACAAAAAATCCTGGAATGGTTGGAGTCTCTTATGAAAGAAGCGGAGTCCTGTTTAGAGCATGATTTTTACTTTGAGTCTCTCTCCCCTCTAGGGCTGATTATGAATGTTTCCAGATTGAACTTTCCAAAAACTATGGGATGGCAGAGTGGCGAGAAGATGTCAAGAAAATCATGCTGAAGGCTGGCCTGCAGAGACTGCCCATTACCTTTCTATTCACGGACTCACAGGTACCAGAGTGTTATCAGAGTGGAACGGCTGAAAAAACAGCACTAGTTCCTCCTGGTTCCAAGGTCATATTTCAGAATTTCACCATGGATTGTGAGCTCTGCCAGATGGTTCTACGTCCTCAGGAAATGGTTGAACATTGTGTTGTAAATGTTGATACGTGCCATAAATGTTGATACATGCCATGCATCGTAGCACACTTCGCTGGAAGCCAGCCAGCTTTACAAGGGATCTCCTATCATGGAAGCTGAGATATTTCGGGGTGTGATTTATATGATGTCTGGAGAACCAGCTCTGTTATTACCATGGACACTATTTTTATTTTTCCATCTAGATTAAAAGCGAATCTTTCCTGGAGGATATCAACAATGTGTTGAACTCCGGAGACATTCCCAATCTGTATGCCCCGGATGAGCAAGATCAGATCATGACTACTATGAAGCCCATCGTTCAGGACCTAGGGCAGCAGCCCACCAAGGCCAACCTGATGGCAGCATACACAGGACTAGTTCGCAGTAATATCCATATGGTCCTTTGCATGAGGTATGAGCCCTTCCAGCCTATGGGTCAAATCGTGAAATGATGTTGGGAACCATAGAGCTGCCTAGACTAAGCACAAGGCCTCCTCTCCACTCGTGCACAATTAACCCTTTTGTTCAGGGTAATAATGTCTCCAAATAACACACTAATGCATTTGTGGCTCAGTTCCACCACACCTACTCACATAAGAAGTACTTTATCCATTGATTTCAATGGGGCTACTTGAGGAGTAAGGTACTGTGCCACATGGTAAGGATAGCAGGATTGGGGCTACAATAACTTGCTCCAGATAGACTTAACATCAGTTTTACTTCTCAGATACCATCTTATAGGCTGAATATTCCTGTACTGTTATACTTCAGTAGCCCTCTGACAATCAAAGGAGGTGGATTTCCCCGAATACACACCATAAAACTTCCAAAGAGATACCTATCACTATAGCCATTCCTGCCAAGGGGTCGGTAGTAACCATAGAGCACTGTATGGGGTGATCTCACTCCTACTTCCTTTCTCCCCTCACAATTCATCCTGTAATAGACTCCCTTGCTAACTGCATCACCTCCTCCTTACGATGTAGGTATATAGTATGCATTTAAGTGAGAGTCGGTATTTCACCCAGCTCTTTGGAACCTATCATAATGTGCTGTTCTCCATTCTGTCCCCCTCAACCCAATCCTTGCTGCCTAGCCCTATTGGAGAGGTCTTCCGTGCACGGCTGAGACAGTTCCCCTCTCTAGTGAACTGCTGTACTATTGACTGGTTTAATGAGTGGCCTGCAGAAGCCCTGCAGTGCGTTGCATCTTCCTTTTTGCAAGAGATCCCAGACCTTGAAGCCACCTCTGAAGTTATAGATGGAATGGTAAGTGACATCCTTAAAATATAAGGCAGGTGTCCTGTGTATTCAACATGTATTTGTGCTGGGTGATTGTTAGATGCAAGCGATGCAGGACGCATGTAAAAAGTCCTCATTTACCTTGTCATGGAGAAATATTTTCTGGTGGTCTGAGTGAAATCAGGAACTAACTTTGTTACAGTTGGAGATGGTCATCTCCTCTCCTTTTCTTATACTTCTGTGCTATTGTGGCCTTCAGATGGGACTGCTTGGCCTTTCTCTCTCATTGTAGCCCAATTGTATGTAAGGGAATAGTAGTTTGGTTACTTTTGTGCTCCTCTCCAAGTCTCGTGCGACTTACTTTAATTTTGCTGGTGCATATACCCTGTAGGACACTTCTAATAGATTGGTCGTCTTTCCCTGCTCCTTGTAGATTCAGGTGTGTGTAGCGATCCACCAGAGCGTAGCAGTGAAGTGCAAAGTGTACCTGGCCGAGTTGGCCAGACACAATTATGTCACTCCCAAGAGCTACCTGGAGCTCCTTGGCATTTTCACAGCCCTGATCGGGAAAAAGAAACAGGAGCTGAACACAGCAAAGAAGAGGATGAAGAGTGGCTTGGACAAGGTTGGTTCCTCAGAATCAGGGGAGCTTTGGGCTCCCATCATCTATTTAATTGGTGTATTCTTTACAGCAGGGCCGGCTCCAGGCAC